CCCCAACTTTTTGCCCCAGCTCTTTGTGCTGGATCCAGCTGGATCTTGGCTCTTCGTCTGGAATGGGTTGGCCACCCCTGTCCCATGGCATCGCCAGCCACTGCATAGCCAGACCTAACGGTACTTCCGGTGTGTTTTTCAGCACGCCGAGCTCCTGGAGGACTGCGAGTTGCTCCAGGTAGATGTGGAGGAGCTGGCTGAGCTTAGAGGTGCCCTGCGCAGGTGAGGGGTGACCGCTCTTGCTCCCCGGCTGGAATGCTTTCTGCCTTGCCACATTGATCCCTGCATGTATCTCCTTTGCTCTGCCGACAGGCGGCCTTTCGGCGTGGTTTCCTCTCTCTCAGCAGCAGAAAGCTGGTTTTCCATTGTCCCCTTTGGTGTTTTTCAGACGCACCGTTCCTGGGTGCTTGGGCATGGGGCAGCTGTCTTAAAAATGAACCGGCGGCTGAGTTGCATGCTTCCCTCGCCTGCGAGCTGCAGCTTCCTCTGGGCTCCAAGGGCAGGCACAGAGAGCTGCAGGCGGTGGGCAGAGAACTGCTGGGCTCCCTGGGGCCAAGGCAGAGCAAGCGGGCACCGGTGGCCGGCGTAAATGGAGTTGGGCCTCTTCTGTGACATGGCATCTGCATGTGGTCCATCGAGTTCTCTCCCTGACGGGGCAACAGTACAGACCTGGGGCAGGATTGTGCTCCCGTGGGCTTCAACAGCAGGAGACCCGTAACCGGGGGGGTCCTCCCCGGCCTGCGCTAGTGCTGCTGGGTGAACGGCAGAGTCTTCTGCCCGCACGACTCTCCCTGCGGAGAGAAGCAGAGGAGCAGTCACGCCAGTCCAGGGATGGAGCCGCGGGCGCCGGGCAGGCTGGCTCACCATCCCCACACTCCTCCCCAGGGTTCTGCCTCGGACGTGGGTGCCCAGGTCTGGGAGGAGGGGCTCAGAAAATGGGCAGGGGTGTCTGTGCCAGCCTGAGTCCCCAGAGGGCAACTTATGGGTGGAGGGGAGATTGGAAAAGCAGTGCAAAACTCGCTGGGTACCAGCTCAGCTGCCCACGCTGCCCAGGGCTCCTCCTGTTCCAGTCGGGGGGGGGGAGGAAGCAGGGTCCCTTCCCCCGGGGCCGCAGTGGGGGTGTGCAGCCCCATTCCGACCGGGCCAGGTTTGACCCGGTTAGCGCTCCCTTTGCACAGGTGTGAACGACTCGCCCAGGCTCGGGACCGTGGAGATTTGGGCCCCTGCCAGCTAGTCCAGGCTCCAAGGGCAGATCCCCTCGGTGGGGCTTTCCAAAGTGACTTAGGAGCGCGCCTCTCAGGGAAAGTCGGTGGAATCTGGGCTCCTGAGTCACAACCGTGTTTTGAAAATCTCACCCTGGTGTAAATTGACACCCCCTCTTATCCCCCAGCCTGAGGGAAGAAAACGGAGACTTAACGAGACAGCTGAGGGAGCAGCAACAAGCCACCCAGCTGCTGCAGCTCCAGCGAGAAGCGGCCACAAACGCAGTAAGCTCCGTGTGCACCTGTCCCGCCTCCGGGCAGGGCTCGATGCAGCCATTCAAAGGCTACAACGGCTCATTCTGATCATCCAGCCCGACGCGCTGGCACGACTCTGCTCTGCTCCTCGCTCCCTCCCCGAACGCAGGATCGGGGGTAGATCTGGGGGCTGCGGAGGTGCCGAGCACGCCCCTGCCTCCCTTTCGGTTTCATCTCTGGGATGCGCTCTGCCCAGTGTCGTGTCTCACTGTTTGATCCAGGGGCCGTGGTCGGAACAGGCTGCTTCGAGGGGGCGGCATTCTAGCTGTCCCATGTTCTCCCCCTTTCCCACCGCAAGCCAGGTTCACGGCTGCTCGGGGCAGCTCTGTAATGCAGGGCTCAGCCTGCGCCATGGCAGGAGATGAGCGAGGCCTTTGACTGGTTGATAACAGAGACAGAACCAAGCAAAGGACGTGACTCCCTGTGTAGATCCTAGCTCTGCTACTAGTTGATAACAGAGACGGAACCAAGCAATGGACGTGACTCCCTGTGTAGATCCTAGCTCTGCTCCTGCCAGCCTCCCCCCAGACACGCACAAGGGCAACTGCTGTGGGGGTATACTCAAAAAACAACAAATGGTCTGGTAGCACTTTATAGACTAACAAAGCATGGAGATGGCATCATGAGCTTTCGTGGGCACAGCCCACTTCTTCAGATGTTCAGGGGAGCAAGGTGCCAGCTCGGGGCTAAGGGAAGCCAACACCTTGAGTACCCTGCCAAACCAGTGATGCTTCTTCCTTCCAGTCTGTACAGGGATCCGGCTCGGAGACGGCGTCAGAACACGAGGCCCTTTACAAGGAGATCCAGGAAACCCAGTGAGTTCTTGCTTTTCCTGTGATGCTGTGATTGTTCAGCGGGGAAGCTGTTGGCAGGAGCTGGGAGGGAGATTTCTAGCGGGGTAGACTGGAGGGCACAGCAGTTCTTGTTCGCTGAGTGGTGCATCTGCTCCCATTGGAGGTGGTCACAACCCGGGCCTTCGCTGTGGTATAAAACCAGAACAATGAGAGAACTTGCAACCTTCCTCATTCAGTACTACCCACCCGCCCAGCGGTGCAGGGTGATGGACCCTAGCCAGCGCACCCCCCCCCGCCTCCCTCTCTAGAGTCCTGCAACCCTAGTTCATTCTCTCCGTAGCTGTTTTTCGGGGGGTTGGTGATTTCGGATCCTGATGCTCATGAAATTGACCAGGATTTCTTTTAAGGCTCCTGGGCCATGGTTTGAGGATGGCCATGGTTTGAAGAACTGTGCCCACAAGTAGCGATCAAGCCCCGGCTGGCTCTTGGGAGGGGCCTGATCCTGAGCCACTGAATTCAGTAGTAAAATTCCATCAGCCAAACCGGCTGGAGCTAAGACCCTGTCTGTGTCACTGAAGATTGACTGGTTTCCTTCTTGGCTCCGTCCACCCCTTTTTCAGACTGGTTTCCAGGGAGCCAGGCCCCGGGGTGGAGAGATCCAGCTTCTCTGGAAAGTAACTGGGTTTCCCTGCATTTGTGTCTCGCTAGCGACAGGATAAGGAGGCTGGAGGAGGAGAAAGCCGAGATGAAGTCTGAGATCAGGAAGCTGAAGGTAGGAATGGCTTTTTCTTAGCTTCATGTGCCCCGTTGGCAACAGAGGATGCCACGGGGCTGGGTGGTACACAAACCCAGAACCACACAATGGTCCTGCCCCGAAGAGCGTATGACCTAAAGAATCAGGATTGAATTGTATTTGTAAACGCCTGGACATTAATTCTGCTCCTCAGCCCTCGGAGCACATGGGCAGCGGGACATGCGGCAGCCACAAAAGGAGGA